AAAGAACTGGGATGTGTATGGACATGTACCAACTCCCCACAAGGAATGTAATCATATACTATACACACATGTACTAATATGTATAATAAACTAAACTAAAAAAATTTTACTAGACAAGATGGTAGGAACTCACCAATGGTTGTTATATTGCCTACTGTCTTCAAATTATTTGATCAGATTACCAGATATAAGCATGCAAAATCAGTCAAAAAGAAAAAAATAGGCATTAAATGTTCCTTTCAATTCTAATGTTTTTTGTTTTTATTTTTTATTCTCTTTAATAAGAAAGAAGGGGAAATTATGTATGTATGTATGTACAGGATAGCTAACATAGATGTACTACTGACTTCTATCACTTTACTGAAAGGAACAGTTAGTGATTACTTATTTGATCAGTCTTGCAGGTCTCTATTTATTTTCCTGAGAAAGCACTTTGAAGATATCACTATGTAATACAACAATTACATATTGTTGATTAATTTCCTACCACTTTGTCTGTAACTCTGTATTGCATATACTGTTTTTATGCTACTTTGTAAATGGATGTCTGTTTGTTAATGTTCTCCCTCTTTTATTTTTTTTATTTTAAAAATAAAAGGAGGAAAATATTAACAGACAGACAACATTTTACAAAATAGCAAAAGAACAGTACAGACAGTACGGAGTTACAAACAGAGTGGTAGGGAATTAACAATGCTTGCTGTATTACATATTGATATCTTCAAGTGGTTTCTCACGAAAACAGATATAGACATACAAAGCTGATCAACCAAGGACTCAGTGACAGTTTCTTTCAGCAAATAAATACAAGACAGTAGAACAGCCATGTTAACTATCCTGCATATACATACATACAACTTTCTCCTTCTTTCCCTTCTCTTTTCCCATATCCCAGTTACCCTTTACCTTTGAGTGCCTTTCCTATCAATTCACAATGTCTATCATATCTCCTAGTTTAAATTAACTCTTTCAGGCTTTACACTAAAGAAACAATGCGGTGCTTGCACATATATGTTTGATTTATTTCACTTATGAGTACGGTCTCTAGTTGTGACCATTTACCTATAAAAGCCTCGAGTTTATCTTTCTTTACAGCTGAGTAATATTCCATTACATAAAAGTACCACAATTTTCTTATCCAATTCTCAGTGGATGGACATTTGGGTTGCTTCCACATTTTAGCAATTACAAATTGTGCTGCTGTGAACATAGGTGCACATACATCACTGTGATATGATGTTTTTAGATCTTCTGGGAAAATACCCAGCAGGGGGATTGCTGGGTTGAATGGGACCTTTAGACCTAGTTTTCTGAGGAATCTCCAAACTGATTTCCACAGTGGTTTCACCAGTCTGCATTCCTCTTGAAAGAATCAACAACTGGGATCTCATCCTACTGAAAAGTTTCTGCACATCGAAAGAAATCACCAGCAAAGTAAAAAGAAAACCCACAAACTTGGAAAAAATTTTAGCTAATTGTCCCTCAGACAGAGGGATCTAGAACATATAAAGAATTAAAAAATATCAGCCCCTCCAAATTCAAAGACCCAATCCAAAAATGGGCAGCTGAGATGAATACACACTTCTCAGACAAGGAGATACAAATGGTAAATAAATATATGAGAAAATGTTCAACATCATTAGTCATTTGAGAAATGCAAATTAAAACGACACTGAGATTCTACCTTACCCCAGTAAGAATGGCTAGCATTAAGCAGTCAACCAATAACAAATGCTGGCGAGGCTGTGGAGAAATAGGATCCCTCTTTTATTTTTAAAATAAATTTTTAAAAAATTAAATTAAATTAAATTTTAAAAATTTTTAAAGAATGACATGAAGTGAGTAAAATGTAAAAATAATTTCTAAGAAGCAGAGAAGATAGAAGCCAGCTAAAATGTTCACCTGTGCAGAAGAAATGAGGGAAAAAATGGGGAGAAAGGAGAGTAGGAGAACCCTGAGAGTAAATAAAATGAAGGGAAAAACGTTTTAGGGAGTAAATGATCTAGAGGATAGATAGGTAGATATATATATAGATAGATAGATGATAGATAAATAGAGACATACATGCATAAATATTGCCAATGATTATAATATCAAAACTGAATATTTTATGGTGCTTATTTTATTTACCAACCACTCCTGCAGATTTATTTTTAAAATTCATATCACAATTTCATGAGTTAGATTGCTGTCTCCACATTACAGATGAAGGGAAAATTTCAAGCATGTAAATATTAGTAGTAGTAATAACAGCAGCAGATGTCATAGAATAGTAATTAGTAATAGTTGAGCAAATACTAGTCACTATGCCAGGCACATAAGTAATTCCATTTACCTCTCAAGACAGCTCTGAGGTAATTACTGTTATCCTAATTTTACAAATGAGTGAGTAGATCCAGGATTCCAGCTGAGACCACGTAACTCCCAACACTCACTGTTTCCAACTTTTATTTTCTATGAGTCCTGTATATGTTTGCAGCACATAATGATCACATCCTTGGGGGGGTTGGTACATGTATATAGCACACCTTCATTCTTTCCTCACCCCCTCTCCACGCCTCTTTTTCCCCTCTTGGCCCTCTTCCCTTTTGCAAAAGATCTATTTCCTTTCTCAGAGATGACATCTGGAAGCCACATCATGCTCATAGATGCAATCTTTTGGAGAAATGAACAGATAAAAAGTGTTTTCTTCAGTGACCACCCTGTGACTGCATGCCCTACCTGAAGCAAGTGATTCTGCCTGTCGTGTATAAGCAAAGAAAGAGATCTTTCTATTTTGCTCTCTATCTTTTATTTTGCCTATCTTTTATTTTGCTCTCTATTTAGATATTTTGTTTCACATATAAGATATGTAATATTTAAGCTTATGTATCTGATTTATTTGACTTTACATTATGGTTTCTAGGTGTATCATTTTCCTACAAATGACTCAGGTTTATCCTACTTATGGCAGAATAGTACTCCCTTGTGTCTGAGTAATACACACTTTCTCTATCCACTCATCTATTGATAAGCATACAGGCGGGTAAGTTCCAGACCTAGACTGTGAATCCATACCTTTATATTTCTTATCTGATGTTCCTTCCATTAAGATAGGGAGAGAAAAGCTCATGCATTATACTCAGGAAGCATCCCAGTTTTCCAGGACCCAATTTACCACCCACACATCCTACTCCTCACTTAAACATGCTCACCTGGTCATTTCTTCACCCTTGTAAGGAAAGGACCTCTCCCTGATGGTGCTGCCATCCGTTAACCCTTTTGTTCCACATGAGGAGCTCCACCGATAGGACTGTCTTGCAGTTTTGCGTACCATCAGGACTCACACGTTATTTGGTTCAGTTATGCACACCAAAGAGTTTTTGTAAACAAAAGAAAGACAAAAAAGAATTAGATACCTAAATTTTAAAAACTGATCATTTGTGAAATGAGTTTAAGTTTAAGATTCAGAAGATCTCTTTCTTTGCTTATACACGACAGGCAGAATCACTTGCTTCAGGTAAGGCATGCAGTCATAGGGTGGTCATTGAAGAAAACGCTTTTTATCTGTTTATTTCCCCAAAGATTGCATCTATGAGCATGATGTGGCTTCCAGATGTTGTCTCTAAGACAACAGGATTTTGTACAGGTGGATCTGAGAAAGAAGAAAGAATCTGGAATGGCAGAGTAAAAAGAGGACCTAATTTGGAATTACATTTTTTATCTAAGTTCTACTGTCAATTTATCTGAGCAAATAATTTCTCATCAGTTCCCTCAAGGAACTGTGGACCAAGATCTCTTTCAAATCTAGTAATACAATATTTTTGCCTAATTGAGGTGGGCTCTTCTCTACTCTAGTGTATGTTTGTGAAAGAAAGAAAAGGAATTGAAATTTAAATAAGAATGAGAAAGAACAGAAAAATAAAGAAAACTCCATTAAATACACATAGCCTGGTATTTTATAGGATATTACAAGTAAAATCTTGCTTTAAAATAATTTTACTTATAAGAAACAGGGTAATTTAACTCTTTTTTAAAAGGGGGCAAATAAGAAATCTACATCACTGTGATATCCTCCTTGAATAACAATCGCTGTGTTTGGGGAAATCTCAGATTTAAGGATGAAAACTGTTCTGTTTTTAAGATAAAAGATGTATCTGAGAAATGTATCTCACCCTTTTGGTAATTTATTGCAAGCTAATGGGTAAATATGTGTTTTATGTCATCTCAAAAGTATCTCTCTAGTGTAGACATCCCCATTTGACCCAGCTATTCCCATTCTTGGTATCTTCCCAAGAGATTTAAAAGTATCATACCACAGAGATGCATGGACACGCATGTTTATCACAGTAGAGTTTGTAATAGGTAAATCTTGGAAACAACCCAAATGCCCATCAACCGATGAATGGATTAAAAAAAAAAATCTCTATTTTTATACAATGGAGTACTACCCAGCCATAAAGAAGGATAAGCATGAGACATTTATAGCTAAATGGATGCACTTGAGATCATATTCTTTACATTGGACAAATGTGTAAATAGTGCATTCTCTCTGGTGTGAGAAACTGAAAGTACAAGTAGGAATCAAAATGTATGATAGATATTGTAAAATAGGATGAAGTTGTTCAAAAGGAAAGGGGGACTCGAGGGGGAGGGGGAAGGCAGGGAAAAGAAAAAATGAGAAAAGAAGATAAAATGGAAATGAAGTCTTTGTAAATACGAGGGGAAGAGGAGTTGAAGGGCGACGAGGGGAACGTGAAAAAGAGAAATCAAAATACATCATGTGCCGGTGCAAATTCCCTATGATTAATGTGATCATTATGTATGTCTAAATTACCAATAAACTTAATAAGAATATTCAAAGTGTCTCTAATTATAAAGTGACAAACTACTTTCTATTATTTAATTCTGTCACATACAAAGAAGTGGTTTTATTCTTTGACTGCAAAAGGAAAATATCTTTATAAAACTTCTCAGTGCCTTTTTCAACTTCATACATCTTTCAAAATTCTATGTTTCAGGCCCTGCTTGATACTCAGACGCTTTTGCGTGCACAAATCACAAATTTTACATTCAACCTGGGATTTTCAGGGAAGTTTTACCATACAGGTAAGAAAACAGCACAAACCGTTCTCACGAGGTTTCTCTGATTACTCTGGTTAACACTGTACACCCTATCCTCACACTTCCCTGCATTTTTTGTGTCCTTCCCCTCTTTCTGTTTCACTTTACTCCATTCAACATACTACTTTTAACCTTTAGAAAACGTTAATAGTTTGAATGTCTATGATATTATCAAGTGGTCTTTCTTTTATTGAACTATAGCTTATTTGTGTAAAAGTACATGAATAATAAGTTTGATCTTCAGTGATATTTCATCAGCTGTGAAAACATAGCTTTACATAGCTTTGGGCAGATCAAGAAAGAAAATACGAGCGGAGTTCACAGCCTTATGGCCACTTACAGTCACTAATTTCCCTTAAAGAAAATCTCTACCCTCACTTTTAACAACTAAATGATTCACCTCTATCCAATTTTTTTTGTTCAGCATCATATTGGTGTCATAAATATTATCATGTATACACTATGATTTTTCATTGTTGTATAGTATTCCATTATTTGAACCTACATACCAATATGTCTTTATCCATTACACCTTAACGTGGATGGTTGGGTTAGTTCTTTGGCTTTTTTAATAGTCATACTGATACTTGTCCTTCAGTGAACTTTACTATTCTTTTCTATTAGTTATTATTCAGAAATGGAATTGCTAAATTTTACTGCATGTATGTGATTAGCTCTAACAGAAGATACTAATTAGTTTATCAAAGTTGTTTTACTAATTTGTATTTCCAGTAGTATGAGTGCTCCTGTTACTATACAACATTGCCAGTATTGATAATGTTTCTATTTTAATTTTAGTATTTCTGGTAGACATGTAGAAATATCATGTTATGGGTCTAATATATATTTACCTGATGAGGAGCAGGCTAACTTCTTTCATGTTTACTGGCTATCTGGATACCTTTCTTTAAGAAGCACTTGGGTTTTTTTCTAGTTTCTGACTTCTGTTATAGACTTGTAGAAATTCATTATATATTCTTAATTAGTTTTTATGTGCAGCAAACACCTCCTCTAACTGTCTGGGTTGTTCTTATTTGTATTTTTGATGGACAAATATATTAAATTTTAATTTTGTCCAATATATTATTTTTTCCTTTATGGTAAGATTTTTTCAGTCTTAAGAAATCTTTGCATATCACAGGATCATGAAAATATTTTCTAAACTCAAATTACATAAATTTATGATTAATCTGGAATTTGTTTTTGTGTATGTATCAGATAGGTATCGAGGTACCTCCTTCTTTTTGTAAACATATCTAATTAGCTCCATGTTTTGGAAAACCACCCTTTCCCACTGCACTGTAATACTGTCAGTGTCATAAATTATAGGAAGATGTAGGTATGGGTTCTTTCTGGATTGGCTGTCCTGTTTGATCCAGTTGTCTCCTTCACTCTGTCTAATTTTCTGTAACTTTATAATTGATAATATATGCTAGTGTACATCCTCTGTATTTGTTCATTTTCATTGAGATTGCCTTGGCTATTTTTGACTGCTTGCATTCTCGTATAAATTTTACAATCAGCTTGTAAATATCCACAGAGAAACTTGGTAGAATTGTAATGGAGATTGCATTAAACCTATAAACTGAATAATGGAAAATTGACATCTTAAATCCTTAAATGTATTTAATTCTTCCTTAGTTATATTGAATAAAATTTTTTAGGTTTTATATATATTCCTTAGAAATCCAGTTGTACCTGATGTCTTGTTTTTAATTTTCCACTCCCTTATTGATGATCTGTAAATATATAAGCGATGTTTGTGCATTGATCCTGTATCTAGCAACTTTTCTGATTTAAATTACTCACTTTGGGGCCTGGAATATAGCTCAGCAGCACAAGAGCCTGCCCAGCAAGTGCAAGGTCCTGAGTTCAATTCCCAGTACCAAAAAAATAAAATAAAATAACATAAAATAAAATGTTATTCACCATATACTTTGTCTAGAGAGACTTTTGAACTTTCTACTTATATGATCATGCAATTTCTTTCTTTCCTGGCCGTATGGATTTTGGTTGCCAATTTTGGATTCTTTTGGTTGCCAATTGCACATAGCTCATATATCCAGGTCAGTTTTAAATAAAATTGGTGATGGTGGCATTTTGTCTTATTCTTGATCTCAGTAGGGAAACTCTCAAAAGGCTTGTGTTCACAAAAGGAATTTTTTAATAAACTATTTTGTAGCACTCTTTTTTTTTTTTTTTTTTCCAGTACCAAGAATCAAACTCACGACCTCACACTTGCCAGGCAGGTTCTGTGCCACTGAGCTAAATCTCCAGCCCCTTGTAGCACTCTTTAATAGCTTAAAGCAGCTCTTTTTCAGAGATTGCTCAAAGCTGTATCATGAACAGATATTAAAGGAACTTTGTTTTAAATTATTTATCAGTTGTCTCTTCCCGCAATAGAATGAATATTCCATGAGGGCTCCACTGTTATGACAACAGTGACTAGAACAATACCTATTAAAAATGAATTAATGAAGAAATGTATTAATGACAATAAAATCATCTCTTAGTCATTAGTACTTACGTGCAACAAGGTCACAGAATAAAATTTGATCATGTTCTTTTGTGAACAAATCATTTTAAATATTAAGATTAATTAAAAGTCTCTTTCTCAAACATAATTAATATGGTCAAATGTAGATTTTCTTGCCTAAGGATAGGTGAATACAATTTCATGACTAAATAAATCAATCAATATATATTTCAGAAATTAAAAAGCTAGCTAGAGTTGTACATTCAAATAATGAAATAATCTTGTTATTAAAAGAACAGAGAAAATGTCACATGTAACTAATAAGAAAAGAACTCTTGAGCAACATCTTAAAATATCAAAGTACACTACCATATAGTTATTAGAACATGTTACCACTTATATAAAAATAAAATGGGTGAAATTTACAGAACTGTACAAAGCTGATGTTAAAGCTGATGAAACTGAGTTGCAGAGTGGCTGAGTAACTTATACATACTCACACATTATTAATACAGATACACAGTGTCCCTGTAAAGACTCATAGTCAATGGATTTGAAGGAGTATCTGTGAAGAGAATTTTAAGACTGAATAACAAGGATGAAATGAAGTAACTTTTTATTGCATTGCTTTTGTACTTGCTGCATTTTGTATCATATGTATATGTGTAACCTATTTAACTAAACATAAATAATTTTTAAATCTGTTTTTTAAAGTTTATCAAATAGTTTTCTACAATTGCAAATGCTTTTGAAATTTTTAATTTGGTAATATGGACATGGGTTATTTCATGTATGTTTAATGATTTCCTACAAAGTTACAAGCTTATCACATACAGAATTCAACCTACGTATAAATAATATCAATATAAGTTTCATCTGCACATAAGTAACACAAATAGTAATTTCAGTTTTAGATTGTAGTCATATTGCACTTCTGGAATAAGCGGATTTTCCACTATTCCAGAGAGTCAGCGAGTCAAAGTCCTAAGACTGGTTCTAGTGTATTCCATGTCACATGATGTATAACACATAACCACACAGCCACACCACTTTGGTTTCCAATTTGAAAGTTTTATAGGTTTTAAAGGTTACTTTAATATAGACTTAAAGGCTTTGTTTACTTGAAAGACTTAGAACAACAATAAAATACATTATTCTGTATTGTTCGAAAGATTAACTGGAACCTCATAATCACAATTTAACTTTGGATTGAATGAGTAACTATTCTTACTGTAACCTCAAAACTAAAACCACAATTAGATATGTATTACAAATTGCTTATCATAAATTCCATTGCTTTGTCACAGATACAGGAAGGGAAAATTTTGTCTCTATGTGCAGATGTTCAGTTCATCTTTCCAGCAAAGTCAGACTCATCACACCACTAAGTTTAACCCTGTGGAGCCCCGTGAACTTAATGAAATAAGAGTATTCATAACCTCTTAAATATATTCTAATTTCAAGGTGATTATCTTAGATTCTTTGACATCCTTTAAAGAAAAGAAAATTAACAAACAGATAAGGAATCACCAGGGCAAGATCAAGGACATAGTTTCATGAAAGCTAGAGAAGTAGCCATTGGGGGAAAACTAAGACAACCCAACCTCATTTAAGAAATACAAGAAAACACTCATGGCAATTCAGTCCTCTTCCTGCCAAACACTGAATACCAGAAAATCACTCCACAGTTCTTCTTCCTTCTCACCAGGGAATATTGTCCTGTTCTTTTACTTGGGCACTTCCCACAGCTCACAAGACTGCTTGCCCTCTTCTAGGTCGGGGAGAGCGGAGGGGAGGAAGCTAAAGCCAAAGTGTGGGAGGGTCATGTTATCTGTGTATAATATGAAAGCTTCCATGAACCTGTAGCCAGGGCCATCTAAGCCTAGGAGAATCATTTTTCAGTGGGATCAGATAGAAAATTTAATAATCAGTCTTTTGAAGATTAGATATTTTAAAATTTAATTAAGTGCATTGTCTTCTAGAATGAATAACTCCTTTTTCTATTAAAAATTCTATGCTATTGCCTCATTCTTGAAGACAAGGAGAGAAAGACCACTGTCATAACAACACTATATTTCCAATGAGAGCTTTATTTTATGGGATTTACTTTAATTTTTGAAGGATTTGAACACTTTAACAAGAAAAAATGAAAATAAAAATCATGTTCCCATTTTAATAAGCAAGAACTACATCTAAGATACTCTTCTAAACATTTTTCATGGACTGTACATTTTCAATAGAAGTTACAGAATATGTTATCTTATTTTCTAGGTAAGAACATAGAAACATACAGAAGCCCGAAATCGTTCAGCTAGTTAAGATACAAAAGCAGGCTTACCCTAGATCAATCAGAGCCCAAGTCATATGTATTAGAAGACTGTATTTTGATATTTAAGTGACAGTTCTTGATTATGGAAGCTGACTGGCTAAGGAGTCTCCTTATCTATAGGTTCACTAAGTTGGTACATTTCACTAAGTCCCTGAGAAGCAACAGTTACCTGTAAACTGTAGTTACATTATAGAGTTAACTACAAATGCAAAAAGCTTTGTCATATTGAATTAGTAAATTCTGATCTTATTCTAGACTCCACATTTGATCAATGAATGATATCTAAGGACCCTGAATTTGGAGCTGCTTTTTCAAAATTAGAATTAAAGTTCTAATTAAATAGAATTAAATGAGATTCTCTTCCAACACTCTCAAGTCCCTCACTTACCTTACCACTACGGTTGTGAGGATTAAATGAAGTGATGCAAGGCAGTGAACACAACGCTTAACACTAGGCAAAGGCTCAGCCAATTGTAGTTTTAGTTTTACAACAAAGAAGGTGACACTGCAGAGATGAGTTTTAAATAGATATACAATAAAACAAATTACAATTTTCAGTAACTTCATAAAGTTGAAGCATCTTTTTGTAACAATTTAAGAAATAATACTTAAAATTAAGGAGTTTGACTTCTTCCTCTTTTCCTCCATTTCTGACCAATGAGAGCAAAGTGAGGGAATTTAGGAAGAGCAAGAACCCAGGACAAGCCAATCATTTACAACTACATTTCAACTGCTTTTATCATAATATTTAAAGTAATAAGCAAAACGGTATGCTCTGAACATAACAATTTCTGATTTAAAACACACCCAAATTAGGATTAAAGGAAATCAAATAAAACAAAGCTACAAGGGGAAAGACATACCATTATGCTTACTATGAATTGAAACAAACCTATCAAAGGACAGACATAATTTGTCAAACTCCTGCATGATTCCAGTGTATGAACATTTTAATCACAGATTTCACCAAGATCTTCAGGAAAGGTCAAAAAATGCCTAAGTTACCTTTCTAAAAAAAAAGAAAAAAAAACCAGAAACCTGTTTCTGCACTCTGTCTTGAGTAAACTTTGAGCAAAGGTTAACTAGCAAATGAATGAAGGAGAGATGACAGGACAGATACAGAGAACAATAAGAATTACAACTGACAAAGAATAGAATTTAAGATCATCAGAGTAGAAACTTCATAAACTAGAGACTCTCAGTTCACTTTATTTACAGTCTCATTGCTGGGAAGGTGAAAATCAGAAATGAACTAACTGGGAAATTTCAAGAGACTTCTGCTTATTTTCAGTGTGAAAACTGCAAGAACTAACTGACTTAATTCCAAATGATCTGGTACCCTGTGGGGCCCAAATAAATTATGCTGTTATGACTCCATACCCAACCCATGTAAAAAACCATTTAGCTCTGGGATTGCACACAGCTTTCTATTTTTATTTTATGGAATAAAGTAAAACAAAATTTTATAAAAAATAATAGGAGAATAATGATGGTTAATACATTGTGCATTGTTATCTTTAAAATAGTTACTCAGAGTAAGCCAGATGAGCATAAAAATTCTCCAAATTATATTAGCACAAGCCTCTCTTTTCAATGAACTAAGAGAAACTAGCGGTATAACTCTCTGGAATTTTTTTCCTCACACCCTTTTTGTACTTACACTCCCACAGTGGAACTTTCTCCTGATCCCTCCTCGCTCCAAACTACGAATTGTACAAAGGTACCAAACATTGAGAGTGCTAGTGTTCTTCGAATAGCTCTGTATTTCCGTGGTATCCATATCTCAGGTTTAACAACTTTCAACAGAATGATATCACAGTTTCTGTTTATTCCCTAATGGATTTCCTTTTGCTACACTTTATGTTCAAAGTCATATATGCATGTAAGATAGGCACGCAAATAGATGGATGATACAGAGATAAACAGGCAGGCAGGTAGAGAAGTACAGTTGAATTAATCGTATGATCACTTTCTCCCTCAAGGAACTAAAGAGGAAGATGAAGGGGATGACTGTCTGTTGGGGTCCGTGGATGAGTTCTGGTGGTTTCCTCACATGTGGAGCCACATGCAGCCCCACCTCTTCCACAACGAGTCGTCTCTAGTGGAGCAGATGATTCTCAACAAAAAATTTGCCTTAGTAAGTAACTCACTTTGATTACTGCATTGAAATAATGTAGACATTGAAGAAATGACGTTTTAATATTGAAAACCAAGGCTTTTGGCATTTTGACACCCTTGAGACCATTTTTCTGTGAGACCAATGAGATCTTGCTATTGCTGTGTGGCACTTGAGCATGTATTGGGTGCTCATCACCATGCTCCATGTTTGGAGGAGTCTAATTTAAGATGGTTTTTACAAGACACAGGAATCAGCTACTTGACATATAGTCAAAGCTCATAATAGCTTGTCTCCTGTCCAGAAAGAACTTCCTACTCTACCAAGGAATCAGAAATATGTGCATTAAACAATTCTCTATCAAAATTAGATACTCCATGCCCTCGTGTCAGTTGTGAGTTTACAAAACCCTCAGCTCCAAAAAACAAACTGGGAGTGGTGAGACAAAAGTTCCTAACTGGAATCAACATTAGGTATGCCTGAAATACAAATACGATTTCGGTATCAGGATGAATAAGAGTGTGATGAGGCCAGGGAAAAAGACCTGGGAGGAGACCATAAAGGGAAGGTGAAGTAATGAAGACTCCATTTAAGAAGGCAATGGGAATGAGAAAAAACAGCTGAACGACATTGCAAGCATACATTTTATATGGCTGGAACATTTCCTTCCTTAAAAAAACATACTGTTTATGTATAAGGTTTGTGATTTGAGGCATGAATATTTGTAGTAAAAATTTTAATTAGTACACTATAAGGGAAAATTTGGCAGGGACTCAAGAGAATGCTGCTACCCACTTGCATGAAATGATATTCTACATCAGTTGTTTGAGGCAAGAACATTAACTAGCTGATCCTCATGCTACCAAACTCAAACTTATACAAGAAAGGCTTAGAATTTATCAACTGTATTCTTCTCAAAAATACAGAAAATGAAGTTCTTTCAGGGTGGCATCGGTCCATACCTGGTTTTAAACTTCAGTGTACCTCCCGAAATAAGCAGTTAGAAGGGCACAGTTGTTAAGGGCTGGTATTTTATCAAGAAAACAAGAATAGTGGTCCTTCATGCCCATATCATGAAAGTATTTTGACAGTATTTGCAAACTGTTTCAAAATGGAGAGTCACCCTTTTGCCAAAAGAACATAAAAATAGTAAAGAGCATGTAAAATTGAGTAAGCATTTTCACAATATTAAAAGCCCTACCTCAATACAGCAAACATTAATTATGTTATTAATTATGTTATAATTCTGGACTTATGTTCAAGTCCAGAATTGAACACTGATGGTATTAGCAGTGTTAATCATCAAGAAGTGGCATGGAAAAGAGAATTTACTTTATAGTTGTTTCATAAATTTATAGAGGAAAAAGAGAATTTGTGAGAGAAAAAAATATATAAATACAGTAAAAGATGACGCCAGTTAAAGAAAAAATACTGAGAAGAGAGAGAGGTTTTTGCTGTTGTTTTGTTAGCCTTCAAAGACTAATATAGGGGCTGGGGATTTAGCTCAGTGGCACAGCACCTGCCTGGCAAGCATGAGGTTGTGAGTTTGATTCCTGGTACTGGAAAAAAACAAAACAAAACAAAACAAAACAAAAAACAAAGACTAATGTAGCAAGGAAAGTTTGAAAAAAGACATGACAAAAAAAAGAGATGACATTCACTTGAAGCTAGAATAGTATATAAAACAACAGGCACTGTATCATTACTTAAATGAATCAGTGAAGAAATCAATGGATATCAATATTATATTCACATTTCAAACAGTTGTAAATACTTGATTGTAAAAATAGTAAAAACAGGCACAGAAGTTATATACATTTCTTAGAATTTCTAACTAACATGCATCATAGAGTAAAAGAATGATTTAAAATCAAAATCTTGGAATTCTTTACCTCATTCAAGTGCCAAAGAAAGACAATGTCATTTCTAGCTACATGTTGACAACCTAGAGTATGGTACTAACGGTGGTAGAGAACAGACAGGAAGAATATTCCTGAATGAGACCAAATATACTTTACATGTTTTAATCAGATATAGGATCAGAGGATTTTTTTGTCAGTAGAGGAAAGATTTTAAAAAAGGCCCATCCCCAGCTGTAATAATGTGAAAGAGAGTATATATAAAGCATTTGAGAATACTGATGAGTAGCAGCTGTTTTCATTTTAATTATATTTAGAGTCTTAAAACTGCCATCTTCAAATTTCCCCTAGTCTTCTGAGGTCTTTGAAGTCACAAGCAAGAGGAACAAAATGCTTGAGTCTAAATTTTTATTTTGTATTGGGATGACATTTAGTAATGTAAACCTTGTACATCTTGTAATTATGTGTTCATTAACTTTTTTCACTTCCCATTGAGGCATTAGGGTTCCAAAACTGCACTGCTGATAATTTGAAAGATGTAATGGGAAAGATCAAGAGTTTTTAAAAACATATTCTATACTGTTTCTTTGAACAACACTCTGAATTGAGGCATATTTGTTTTCCTTTTATAGATGAGGAGACTATGAATCAGATAAATACAGTGACACATTCATGATGATAACACTTACTGGTGGTGGAATTAAGACCAGAAATCTAAAGCTGGTTATAATGCATAAATTGTGTCCCTCAGGCTTCATCAGTAGAATCAATTGAATTCACAGGTGTAAATCTAGACTTCGCTTTTGCCTAGTAAGCCATGGGAATATCTCAGAATCCTGGTAATACCTAGTAAATGGAGAAATTAAGGTAAAACACTTAGGAAAACTTTTCCATTCAATTCCCTAAAGTTTCCTAATATAGTCAGAGTCTATAAAATGATTCTGGAGACAATACAATCAGAGAAACTTTCTTCGTGTTCAAATAACATTTATCAACATAGATATAAAATGCAATATAATTTAGTAGAAACCATTCTGGAGGAAACTGTTCTTCAACTCTCTACTATCTAGAAGCAAGAAGCAAATATTAACCTCTGCTCATAACACCCACTCTAAGTTGGATTATCTCTTTCTCTCCTACATCAGCTTGAGCTTCTGGATCTTATAACAAGCATGAATGTCTCCCAGTGAAAGAACTGAAAGAACACGCATTCCTGCAGGAGTAAATGGAAAGTTGTGGATGCAATATTCAAGTGGGTGACTGGGTTAGACATTTAAAGTACCCTTTTAACTGAGAGCATCTGAGACTCTGATCTAAAGCTCATCTGCTCTTGCTTTCACAATCTATACCCAGTCATGTACCATTTGTATTGAGTATTAGCAAATACATTTGATCTGTTATCTTTTTGCACAATGTGGAACTTTTGACTCATAAGAGAACCTGATGTCCATCTTAAGTTAGCTTTAAAAGTTCTGTCTAATCGCTTATTATGGAAGGTCAGGCGACCCTTTAAGCAGACTTGCACTTGATGACAGCAGCTATGAAAGGAAATGCAGCTATAAGGGTTAAATGGAAAATGTTCCATTAAAAAAATGGGCTAATTCAGTAATTCAACTGAATTTCATAAAAGGAGACATTTTTTAAAGGTACCAATTCTGAAATCGAGATTAATTGTAGCATTAATGATTCAAAACAATTTGAAATATCTATTGTTTGGCTTCAACAGTAGGATCTAGTATCAGTAAAGAAGCAAAATAACAATGTATTTAAACCTCAAAAATGTATCTGAAATATATACTCTCAATTGAAGAATTAAATCTAAATTTTGGCAAATGGTGTTAGTTTCATTTTTAATGACCAAATAATTAGTATATTCTTTTATCAAATAAATATTTGCCAGTACCAAATGATGCTGAATATTGTTATAGATAAATATTATTAAAACAAGTAGTAGTAGAACAATGTTCTTGAAAATGTAAAGTCTTTGAGGATTGCTCTTTTGATTGCACTATCAGTATTCTTTCAAATGGTTGTCTTTTTTTCTCCCTCTTTCCAAGTTCAACAAAGTCTTGTAATTTACATTAGCTGGAATTTCTATTGTTGATTACATAACTTTGTAGATTATTGAGCACATTAGCTTTTTCAATATTCAAATAAAGATTACAATATGAAAATATAATTTAAATTATACTGAAAGATGTCCTTATTTAAGGAATATGTGATAATCTTTCAATTAGTTAATTGCAGGTCAGAAAAGGACTAAATCCTAATAAAGGATTCAGTTAAGGATTTTATTAAAAGACACAGTATGTGTTCCTTTTATTAATAATGAACACAAAGTATAATTTTAATGGTCTTCATAGAAGTGGAGCATTCCAATCAAGACGCAGAGTCCACTCAGAACTGGCAGAAAACTTCTGGAGTAATCCAAGCAGCACAAGTTAAGAAAGACAGGGGCTGGAGATTTAGCTCAGCGGCAAAAGCGCCTGCCTGGCAAGCGCAAGGTCATGAGTTCGGTTCCCAGTACCGGAGGAAAGTCCAAAAAAAAAAAAACAAAGAAAGAGAGAGGAATAATAGGTCCACAATAACATCAATGTTTGAGCCTTCTATTTTTCCCTATGTAATTACTTAAAATTTCAAAACTATGAAATGCTATTTTTTTCTTTAGAAACTCAATTACTTCATCTATGTAAGAATATCCCTTTCCCACCTGAATATGCAGTAATATACACAATGTCCTCTCATGTAGATTTAGCGATAAGCTCTTAAAAGTGGATTTGATTACCCCAGGAATTCAGAATCATTTTGTTTGTAAATTTCCCTCCAGATTACCTTTCTTTCCATTCAATGGGCAGACTTTATAGTTTCTAATAAGATAGGAAGTGCAGAAAAAGTAGTCCTCGATTACTTTCTGTTTTTCAGGAGCAAACATACTAGATTTTATCTCCAGAACATGTATCTGGTAGCTTAAACTGGTTTTATAAAAAGAAAGATAAATTTAGCACATGTTCTATATGAAAATAGTTTCTTCTCGCTCCAATTTATGTGGACATAAACTGAACTAAAAGCCTCTATGAGTTAGCCTGTAAATTCTGGAGTAGGACATAGGAATGGGGGTGAGAGAAGGTTTATTTCTAGATCCATGCATGTTGCTTCGGAATT